ACTGAGTGCTACACTGCAGAGCAGGGTTCCTCCCTGGAGGATGCTTGGGCACTCTGCAGCTGATGGCATGCACAGACAGGTGAAAGATGATAATATGGTGATACAGCTGCTTTAGTTTAGTGCCTATCACAAGATGCTTAAGAGATTTAGGCAGATCAGGGAAGACATCCCGGAGAACATGACACCAGATCTGAATTTCGAAGGATGAGACCACATGAGGCAGGGCCTGAGCAGGACCTGAATGAGCAGACAGGAGTTGGAACCCACAGGTGTTCAGTATAGTTGGATGAATGGTGGAAAATAATATCATAGCTGTAGACAAGAACCAGAGGCCAGATTGCGTATGCAGGGCTCTGTGCTATGAGGAATATGTATTTATTTTAAGACACACTACCCACTGAAGAGATAGCATCTGATTTTGTTTGCACTTTAGGAAAACATACTGTTGGTAGCAATGAGGGTAATAGGGGTGAGGGTAGGAGACATGGAAAATAGAGGAGCAGTTAAGAGGCAGTTTCAGGCAAAAATGACAACAAAAATATACGAGAATAAACCAGAGTCGACTGGAGAGGAACCAGGGAGGGGATTCTGGAATCAAAAAAAGGAATTATGGTAAAGGGAAGGAATCAAGGATGACTCAGAGTATATATATATGTATATATATAAAGATGGTAAGAGAGAGAGTATATATATATAAAGATGGTACTGAGTTTCGGTTTGGAAGAGTTGTGGGGTTTTTTGGTGGTACCTGTGGAATGTCTCAGGAACTGGCCAGGATGTGGTTGGATATAGCCACATAGAGGTCAAGAGGAGGGCTTGAATTTGGAAATGTACAGTGGTCATTGTGCAAGGAGATGAAGTTTGGGAGTTGAGTAGAAAACTCAGGAAGCCTTTTTGGTATTGACAGCATTGAACCCTGGGAACGGTGATATATGAGGATTGAATTTTATCATAGGAGGATTCTAGGGAGGAAGCTGAGCCTGGAAGCCTGCAATCAGAGGGATCAGGAAACCAGTGAGATAGAATTTTAAGAAGAGGAAATGATCCATAGTTTAAAATGCTGCAAGGCAGTCAAAATGAAGCCTAAAAATGCCCATTAGATTTGGCAACTAGAGAGTCATTGCCAATAACAGCTTTAGGGAAGTAATATGAAAGGAAGTAAAATTTCAGGTGTGTAGAGGATTTATTTGTGTTGTTAATGTTTTGAGACAGAGTTAAACCTGTTTCTTTGTTGAGAGGAGGACAGCTATAGAAAGGGACATATTTAGTGATAACTTAGGGAAAAGAAATGATTCTTCCATTCAAATACTGCTTGTTGAGCACCTGCTAGGAGCTCAATCCCATTCCAGACTCTGGGAGTGTATATAGCAGGAACAAGACAAAGTTTACCGTGTGTGTGTGTGTGTGTGTGTGTGTGTGTGTGTGTGTGTGTGTGTGTAACAGTATAGCAGGAACAAGACAAAGTTTACCGTGTGTCTCTGTGTGTACACTTTGTGTGTCAGGAACAAGCAATAAGCTTAAAACCAGATAGATACATAGGAAGTCCTTACTTTAAGCTAAACAACATATAAGGAAAATAATTTTTCCTCATCAACATTGTAACAAAATGATGTTGATTAGAGGACCTGCCTTAAGTTGTTTCACTGAAAGTCCTTGTTTCACTTAAAGGCATAGCTTTTTCCAGGAATCTGGACATTAGGTAAGGTCTTACTATAATATGTCCGGGAGTAATAAATACCTGGAGGAGAATAAAATTAGGATAAGAAGATAACAGAGCGGTGCTGGGTGGGAGGTGAGGGTGCTGTTTTCTGTAGGGTGGCTAGGGAAGGCATTGCTGCTAAGGTGACATTTGAGAGTCCTGAATGAAATGAGGAAAGAGTAACTTTGAGGTAATCAAGAGACTGAGGTGGCTGAGAAGGGGGAGAGAGGGTGGATCTCAAATACAGACGGGAAGGTTAGTTGTCCCCAGGAGATGGGGCACTGTTGCAGAATTTTTGAACTGGAGCGAGAGAGAGAGAGTAACTTAAAAAAAACTTTGAAAGAAACTTGGCACCCATTTTTCTTAATAGGAGCATCCTTAGATGGGTGAGTGTTAAGAAGGAATGTGGGGTGGCTCAAGCCTGTAATCCCAGCACTTTGGGAGTCCGAGGCGGGTGGATCACGAGGTCAGGAGATCGAGACCATCCTGGTCAACATGGGGAAACCCCATCTCTACTAAAAATACAAAACATTAGCTGGGCATGGTGGCGCGTACCTGTAATCCCAGCTACTCAGGAGGTTGAGGCAGGAGAATTGCCTGAACCCAGGAGGCAGAGGTTGCGGTGAGCTGAGATCGTGCCATTGCACTCCAGCCTGGGAAACAAGAGAAAAACCCCGTCTCAAAAAAAAAAAAAAAAAAAGAAGGAATGGGAGCTTTTATATTGTTTTTACATCATTAAAACATCTTCTTCGTCATTTACGTCTTCTTTCAATGACACTGGAGGGAAAACCATAAGGACTCTTCACCATTTGAGGGATGCCATAGATTGTCATCCCTTTTAATTCTCCAAAGGCCCTCCGAGGCACATGTTGTCAGTATTTTACAGGGGAGGAAACAAAGTCTGGAAGGGGTTTCTCATGTCTCGTCGTCATTAGAGCCCAGATTCGGACTCTGCTTTCTGGTACTTCAAACCCTTGCTATTAAAGTACCTCCTGCAGACTGCTCACACAGTAGAGATAGGTACATGTGTCCAGTTTGTGGGTGTGGATAGTAGTAAGGTAGGGAAATGGGAAGTTGGGGGATTTCTTACCCATCGGACTGCCTTTGCGGTTAGGAGTCTTGATAAGAGGTGTTTGGACAGGGGTTTAAGGAAGGTGGCATTCCTTAAGACATCTCTGCTATCTTGATTTGTCACTCTTCCCAGATGGGTTATTCTCTGTCCTTATTCCTATTCCTGTCCAAAATCCCCACGGTATAACAATGTGGGATTACCTTATTTATGCCTGCTATTGTTAGAGTGGTTCTTAGGAAACAATCTCAAGGTTGAGGATGGGCATGAGTAAATTATAAAAATACGTGTTCATTGTGGAAAATCTGAGGTCTGATTTTTAGAGTTGCTTCCCACATACTCTGTCTCGAAGTGCCTGAGAGAGTGGTGGGGGGTAGGGGCCTGTTACTAGCAAAGTTCTCCATCGTTACGGTGTTCAGTTGTGTCTACTCTCATCTTCTGTGAATATGAAGGACCTTGGTAGGGGTCTGCTGGGTATGCACTCATTTGTGTTTGCAAAACGCACACTCTTCTAATGAAATAGACCCTTGGACTGAGCAGGGATTGTTAGGTTGGCAGAGCTCTCAAGGTATAGTGAATTTAAATCATTTCTGTGAATGAATGGTTGAATAGTATGAACTGATTTTTTGTTATTTTTAAAAAGTTACCATTACAAAGCACCAAGGAACATGGAAATGGCACAGGCACTGTTGCAAAATGTTTGGACTGGTGAGAGAGAAAGTAATTTTTAAAAAACTTTCAAAATGTTCTTATTGAAACCTTGCACCCATTTTTCTTAATAGGAGCATCCCCAGATGGGTGAGTGTAAGAAGAATGGGAGCTTTTATATTGTTTGCTTTTACATCATTAGCAGCTTACCTTCTTGTGAGGGTAATTAAATGCTGCACTCCTACAGAAGCACTCACACATAATACAGCAGGGAGAGAGAGAGTCCCACCAGCTTCCACAGTTTACCCAATTCAGAAGTTAGACACGTGATATTTTCCGCTTTTGACAAGTTTTCTGGTTTGCCCACACAGAATTATCTGTAGAATTATCTGTATTATGCTTCTAATTAAGTATTGAGACCCTGAAATTACTTTTTGATTTGTTCTTTATTGAACCACAAGGATCTAATCAGAAGTTTTGAGTGATGGCAACAGAGGCTGTAAAGACATTCCCCGCATTGTGCAGAAATACAAGCTGTAGGGTGTATCTATTCATCTATTCTAGTACCTAAAATTTAGCCTTACAAAAAGATGACATTGTTATATGTATTTTCTCATGTGTGCCTTTAAAAAGGTTTAAAAAGTAGAAGTAATTTAAGAGTGTCTGTAAATTATGAGGTGCTGTTTGGAGAAGTACAAGTCAATAAATGCTTATTGAACACCTATTAATGTTGATGAGGCTTGTTACTTTGTGGGGGTGGCAGCATGCTGGTGTGTTTTGTGATCTGTTAGGGAGCCAGAAATGATTTGACAGGAACACAAGATATGCCAGAGTTTACTTTCAGTGAACCAGCCAGTTATTCTACAGTAACATCGCCATCATTCATATTTCATGTGCACATTCGCCCTGTCTCAGAGGATGGCCGAGTCTGATGTGATGGGTATTTTCACATTTCACCCAACTCATCTCTGACCTTCCCATGAGGGTCAGGTTCATTTCCTACCCATTCTTGGCCTTGGGATATACTTCTTAAAGTGGAACTCGCTTACAAAAGGATTGAAAACGTTTATAGATCTAGTGGTACATTGTCTGGGTGCTCTTCAGAAAGATTGAAACAGTTAAAAGTGCCATTCGCAGTTATAAGTAGGACCTGTGTTCCCACATTCCTGGCAGTGTTAGGGGCCCTGTTTATTTTTATTCTAGTGCTAGTTTGTGGTAGTGAATCAGAAAGTGTGCTTTCTGATGTCCCTGCTGCATCATACTTGTAGCAGTTATTTATACATTAAAGATAATTTTTTATTAACCTTGGTAGAGTTTTCCTGTAGTGTTTTGTTTTGTTTTGTTTTGTTTTGGAGACAGGGCCTTACTCTGACACCTAGGCTGGAGTGCAGGAGCGCAAAATCACTGCAGCCTGGACCTCCCAGACTTGGATGACCCTCCTACCTCAGCCTCCCCAGTAGCTGGGACCACAGGTGGAAGTCATCACCTGGCTAATTTTTGTATTTTTTGTAGAGACAAGTTTTTGCCGTATTGCCCAGGCTGGTCAACAAATCCCTAGGTTCAACTGGCCTCCCAAAGTACCAGGATTACAAGTGTGAGCCATTGCACCTGACCTTTCTTTAATTTTTAACGATTTCATTTTGTTGGGCAGAATTTTATTTGAGACACAGGTCTTATTATTGATAATACCCTTTTTTATTAGCTGGAATTTTCCCCCAAACTTCTTTTTGACTTTGTGGAAGTTTGTGATGGTTGAGAATGTCAGTTTTCTGGGGTCTGATAATTTAAAGATTTGAAATAAAGGAGATAAACTTGTACTAACAAACATAATTTATCTATAACTGACTCCACTGTAATGAAGCTTAGGAGAGAAGTTTTCTTTTTTTTTTTTTATTTTAACTGCCTTGATTCTGAGCACTTAACCATTTATCTGGAATTTATGGCTTCTTGAGGTAAATAATTGTTCTATCAAACATTGTCCCTCGCATTAATTCTTAGAAGCACCATTTACTAACTGGACTTGCCTTTCTCTGATTTAGCCAGTTCATCTCTGCCCTCCTCCCCTTCCCCTTAGCATCTGACCATGCCTGCTTTCCAGCTACAGCACTTAACCTCCTCGGCTGCTGCACTCTTTGCAAACAGCAGTACCTTGGTAGACCTGTCTCTCTAGGACAGAATCCATGGCATTTTGTGGTTCTTTTAATAGAAAATGCCTCTCTTAAGAGGAAAAAAATCTAAATTTGACAGTAAAATGATAAGCTGTAATTGCGGTCCCAAGGATGATTAGAATCTTGTCTTTCGTGTTTCTGTTTGCTTCCAACATGCCATGAACTCACTTAGAATTGGAACAATCTCACTTTAATCTTTTTTAAATCTCAAATTGACAAATTATGGTTGTATATATTTATGGGGTACAGAGTAATGACATCATTTATGAATACAATGTGGAATAATTAAATCAAACTAATTGTCCTATCTACCACCTCAAATACGTATCTCACTTTAATCTTAAAGCTCTAATCTTAAAAGCTGTCTATTAAAACTTAATGCCTACACATCACATTAATTTGGATATGAGAAATAATTAGGAAACTTAAGGGGAATTTGGTTTTCTGAGTGAGTGGTGTTGTGTAGCTGTGTGGGATGACCAGGAAATCAAAGTAAACAAAAAATAGGAAGCAGTGTTTATATCCCAGCTAGAACCAGAAACCTGAGATTCTGTGATCTTTGTATTGTTTGTTAATGAGGAAGGTAGGAGCTTCAGATCTGAGACAGTAGTACTACTAGTTAGTGTTGCAGGCAGCCCCAAATTCTGGGTTTCATAGACTAAGGTTTGTTCTTTTCCCTGAGATGCCCCAACACGGCTTTGTACCCCTAAAGACAAATTAGTGGGCTCTTACTGTGTTTACAAGTCATTTATGAGAAGTGTCGTCAAGGGCATTATGGTTGCCGTGGGAATGGGGGCTTAAGTCCTGGGTAGAGTAAAATCAGTCCTTTAAAAAAATTACAAAGTATTGCAATGGAATTTTTTTTTCAAGTAATAAATGCATGTGGTTTAAAACATGAAATAATATACCAACTCCTGTCTCCTTAAAATTGCTTTGAACTCTTTGCTTTTTTTTATTGTCTATGTTTCTGTTTTCTGATTTATCCATTGTAGACATCATTGATTGTTTTCTTCAAAAAGGGATGAGGGCTTACCTTATTTCCTCCCCATCTCCTAATACCTCTCAGTAAAGGCATGTTATTGGTTTTGCTCCTTTATTAGCTACCAGTAACTTTCATACATGCCAGTAGCTTTTATAACTGATTTCATCTACAAAGACAGTATCTTTTTTACTTCATTTTATTGGGTACAGTAAATTAAGGTCTAATAGAGTTAGACCAAATTAGGTCTACACCTAGAGCTCTGGGAGTTATTGGACATAAATGTTCTGCAGAAGTAATCCCCTATTTCTTGTTTTCCTTGTGTGTTACAGTTAATCTGGAGATACTGAAAATGTCTCATTTTGGGTTTTGTTATAATCTTTGACTTTTAAAAAATGTTTTACAGAAAGACATATCTTCAATAGATGAAGATGAAAATACAGAAGAAAGAGAAGCAGGTAAGTGAGCACATTTCTTTTGGGTGAATGCATCCAGGATATCTTGGTGCCTTTTCAACAAGGGGAGACACCTGGCAGCATTGGCTCATCCCTTAACCTCTTAACTTCCCCTGTTGCCTGTATTATAGTAACTGAGAGCTCTGTTCTGAATGACTTAATATGAATTTTTCTTGTTGCTCAGTTCATCTTCACATAGGAGTAAATGTAATGAAAACTGTACATCAGAATATTATTCAAATTGGCCAAGTAGAAGAGAAACACTTCCTTGGAACAGCTTTCTGAGTCTTATCTGAAAGATGTGACCAATTTGTTATAGTTTATATATGTATCCTTCCGGATTTTTGGTTAAACTAAAAGCATTCTTACTTACAAAATCCTTATTTATACTGATCTGTGGATGGGTTCTCCCTAGAGAGAATAGTGAAATAATGAGAAGAATGGGAGGATCAACTCTTTGGTATTTGGTTTTTTGAAGGGGATGTGGAATGGAGAATGTGATTTATCTTGCCAGGATCTATTTCCTTGGTTGGTACTGCTTTGCTGTGGGTGGTAATATATTCAAAGGAACTCTGAGACCTCAGTCGGGAGGTGAAGTGGAAGATTTGTCTCTGTCTCTTGGAAATGGGCGATTTCTGATGGACTGGTTTTTCTTTTACAGAATTGAATGATAACCTGGGAACTGGGGTATCTAAATCCCTGCTTTTCACTGGGACTCTGTAACAAAGAGGTTGGATGAGAGTAGCCACTCTTACCTTTCCAGTTTGCTCCTAGGCAACCTTAGTCTAATAATAGGGTGACTTAGGGTTATGGTTCCAAGGACTACCCTCTGGTCTGTCCTCAGTGGATAGGTTGATTTTGGAAATTAATTAACTAACTCATCTGCTGCCAGATATCAAGAAGGGCAGTGACTAAATACTGTCTTCACATTGAATTTATATCTGTCCTAGCTCAAAGAGTTGTCAGCTGATAGGCAAATACTACATGGAATGCAGTTCCGTCTGCCAGGAACTTACCCTATGGATATACTTAGGTGTGCAAAACTGTGTGTATAAAGGCTGAATTGCTGTTTCACATATGTTAGCAAAATTGGAAAAGAACCTACACATCCATCAAAAAGGGAACTGTTTAAATCATAGCACCCCCACCTAATGGAATATTATGCTGCTGTTAAAAAGAACACAGCACTGGCTGGACGCAGTGACTCACACCTATAATCCCAGCACTTTGGGAGTTCGAGGCAGGCAGATCACCTGAGGTCGGGAGTTTGAGACCAGCCTGGCCAACATGGTGAAACCCCATCTCTACTAAACATACAAAAAAATTAACCAGGCATGGTGGCAGTTACCTGTAATCTCAGCTACTCAGGAAGCTGAGGGAGGTGAATTGCTTGAACCTGGGAGGCAGAGGTTGCAGTGAGCCGAGATTGTGCCATTGCACTCTAGCCTGAATGACAAGAGCGAGACTCCTCAAAGAACACCTTACTGAAGAGAACCTCAGACCCTCAAAACTGTTGTCATTTGTGATATGTGAGCAGGTTTATATTTCTTAAGGGAATCTGCACATATTTTTATTTTTAGACATCCTTTGAGATAAGCTTTTATTTAAATCAAAACATTCTATAACAATTGCATCAAAATGAATTCTGGTTTCTTTCTTCTGAGATTTTCTGGTTTATGTTAAGACCTTTGGTATGTTAGCCAGCTGTTACGTAGCTTCAGTTGGATGGGTTTTTGTTTTAGACCTCATGATAATGTTGGTGAACAGAATGGGATTTTTCATTTAAAGTTAATATTAGATAGGATAGAGAAGGAGGTTAAATAAGTGAGCCACTTGGCAGAAAGGCTTGCTTCTGCTCCTCTTATAAATACTGATGGTAGGCCATACTGATGACTGAATTGTAAGAAGTTGCAGAGCATGAAAATAAAATATTATGTTCAAGTTAAAGCAAAAAAAAGGCTCCAGGATGGAGAGAGTTCAGTGCTTAACAGAGAAGAGGCCCATATTCTGGAATGAACTTCAGCTTTGATTTCCATAGAACAAGATTGAAATTCTGACCCTACCATTTAGTTGTATAACTTTGGGTAAGTTCAGCCTTGTCAAATGATCATTTATCGAAATATTTTCCTTTGTGCTTCTTAACTAGCTGGGCATTCCTCAGCACCACTGTTGATGTCATCTATGATGTCACGAGGGTGGTGGCCATCAACATTGCAGCCCACAAACTGGGCAGTCCCCAGGATCTCTTTAATAGTTCCAGTAAGTTCTCTGGCTAAAGATCAGTGCTGCATCTGTCGAGCAATGTTGACAGTCTCATCAAAAGTGATATTTCCACTGTGTTTAATGTTTTTCTGTTTTTGTCTCTTGGCGGTTCCTTGAGGGCTTTGATGAACAGGGCAGAAGCAGAAGGTACTACCTGAGTCAGAGCCTGTCTGTTCTGAACGGTCAGTTTCACTGTAATCCTAGATCCCATCCAGTTACCAGTTGCCTTGGCAATGTCATCACCAACCTTTTTTGGAGACAGATCTTGGGGGCCAGTGCAGACATGGCACCAACTTCACCCCGACGATCTGATCTCATTGGGATCGAACTTCAGTGGCATGGTGGCGGCAGATGGTGCCAGATGAATTCGATTCAAGACAACCCAAGAAGGTTGCACCTTGACCTCCCTTGAGCCGAAAGACGAAAGCCAACCTTGTTTTTCTGTCACTTAAATGGGAGCAATCATACATGTCTCACATCATAAGATTGGGATTAAGTGGGGTAATTTGTTGAGTACCTGGTATTCAGTTTGTCAGTGGCAAGGAATCTTTCAGTTTCACAGTAAAAGTAACCATCAGACTTTGTCTTTTCTCTTACCATGATTCTGAGGTGTTAGAAGTAGCAGCAAATAAAACATCCACCTTTTAAAAACCCTCATTCCTGTTAATTCACTTTTCCTCTTCACTGGAGAAAAATAGCATGTAAATATACTCTGATCTTGATATTCTTCATTTCTTTGTTCAGAATCTTATCAAGGTAAATTAAACTGAGTTGGTAGATTTTTACAAATTAAATTAAAACTCAGTAATAAATAATCATGCTTCTTTATTAACCAGAAAAGACATAATAGGAGTACTGTGCCCAGAACAGAGGGTTCAGAGATCGACTTTGTTTTGCCTAAAGAAGGGTTACGAGAAAAATAGACTTTAATAAAATGTTTAAAAATTAATCACTCGGGAGAGCTATAGACTTTTAATCTACATTAAAAAGAACTAAACTGCTTCTAAGAAATACGTTTATTTTAATTCTTAAGATGATTAAGCATTATTAGGCAGAAAAAAAATTAGAGAAATAAAATGTGGCTGGGCGTGGTGGCTCACATCTATAATCCCAGCACTTTGGGAGGCTGAGGCAGACGGATCACCTGAGGTCAGGTGTTTGAGACCAGCCTGACCAACATGGAGAAACCCCATTTCTACTAAAAATACAAAATTAGCTGGCCATAGTGGTGCATGCCTGTAATCCCAGCAACTCAGGAGACTGAGGCAGGAGAATCGCTTGAACCTGGGAGACAGAGGTTGTGGTAAGCCGAGATCACACCATTGTACTCCAGACTGGACAACAAGAATGAAACTCCGTCTCAAAAAAAAAAAGAGAGAGAGAGAGAGAGAGAGAGAAATAAAATGTGAACTCTAATCATTGAAAACCTATTTGGCACTATTGTTGTATAATATAGTTGTAAATACTTCTTTGCAAGAGGGCACATCTTAATGTTAGCAACAAAAAAACTGTGATGTAGGAATATTGATTTTTATTCATCTCAGCTTCTTGCTTGGCACTGGGAAAAGCATAAAAAATGATAAATATTATGTAATGTATAATATGTTCTGTAGGCTGGTATAATCTTGAGGGGTAAGAGGGCTTTGGGACCACATATCCAGTATAGAAGACAGTTAATAAGCAGTGAATACAATAGAAATACATAATATTATAAATAGGATGACAGCTTGGAGCTGTGACCAGGAGGCAACCCAGACTTGAATAACTACAGGAGAACCTTGCTTCCTGACCCCATGCTAAGAGTTGGGTAAGCAAAGCCCTTCATTCTTAGGTCCTCTAGAAAACATAAAGATGGGAAGAGTTTTCTTCAGATACGCTGTGAGAATATCAAAGACTTTCAGATTATTAGACCTTATTTTCTTCCCTGGAGTGACTATATGTATAATTTATTCACTAAACAAATATTTGCTAAGTTTTTCAGCATTAATTCATTAATATTAATTCAGAAATACTTGCGTTCTACTTGGGGCCAGGTTCATTAGTAACAAAAACAATTTCTCAAGAAATGTCTAGCCTGGTTACAAACTGTTTATATAACCAGGGGATGAAATATGCCTCGGAAGAGCCAGAATTTTACCTTGTGGTGGAAAATCATGCTCTGTAATTGGAGAGTATGGGGGCTGAGGGAAAGTCAGCCCCACCAAAGAATTTGAGAGCGTTCTAAAAAGAGATGATGTCTTCTGTGGGGAGCCAGGTCAGGCTTCTTGCTTCATGGGACTCAGAAGGAAAGCTTTGGATGGAAGAGAATAATATAGGTGGATTTGGAAAGTTGAAAGACATGGTAGGAAGGGAGAAAGGAAAGGCCTGGAGTGTGGTGCTAAATTTTGGGTGGTGACCAAGGGTGAACTAGAACAGAGAATCACGGTGGATTAGCAAACCACCAAATTCCCAAAAGAATTAGTCCTGGCAGTCCTCTAGGGAGAGATGAGAACTCAGTTGCTTAGGAAGATGTTTACTAGTAGGATGGATCACTAAGTCATGGTTCATAGTTCAGAATAGTGAAAGAGGAAGAACAGCAAAGTCAATAATACGGTTGAGTGAATAATTTACCTTTAAGACTTTTTGGCCTCATCCTGCAGAGGATCTGAAGATCATCTGGGCTAATACTAGTCAGACCTTGAGTTTGGTAGTCATTGGAAGGCCTTTTCCAACATGTATAAAGAGGGTTAGTTAGTAAATTG